TCTGGATCAAGGGTGTCCAAGCTGTGGCCTGCAGTCTTTATGCTGATATTGTGAGGATTCTTTTTTGCTTATCTATGGTGTTGTATATCACAAAAAATATGCATGGACCTTTTTATTGCTAATCAGCTTTCATTAGTGTTTGTGTATTTAATGTGCGGCCCCAGACAACTCTTATTCTTCCAATGTACACCAGAGGAAAAAAAAGGTTGGACACCCCTGGTATAAACCTTGGTGGACAGTGTATTCTGTCACTTATTAACTGGGAGATCTTAAATAATGCTCAACTTTCCTGATTTCCAGGGCCCTCTTCTGTAAAAGGTGGCTGATGAAAAAGAGGAACTGGTTTAAAGGGTTATTATAAGGGTGAAATCAGGAAAGCATTTTGACCAGTGCTGATGCTTACTGGGCAACTGATTATTGAGACACCTTCTCCAACTTCTCATATGATTTCTGACAATTATCATAGTCAAACACTAATGCTATGAGGTAAGAGGAAAGTGACCACCGGGATTTAATAGTCTGTACCTGATCACTGTGGTATTTCCTTCTTCAAACAGGACAACTAGATCTGTAGCAGCAAGTCAGGAGAAAGAGGTGAGATTGAGGGTCCTAGATTTGAATTCACCAGGGCTGTGAGTCAAAACTAAGCAGTTCTGACAACAGAGCAATATGAAGAAAGCCTTACAGCTGTGTCTTTGGTAAGATGAGAGATGTGAAGCTGAGAGCCCAAACTGAGAGCCACGGGTGAATTGTTTTCTTTTTGTTTGTTTTGTTTTTTATTCTGAGGCAGGTGCACCATTTCTAGAAGCACTGCAATACCAGGTGGATGCATAGATTGGATGAAGCCAGCTCCTATTTCAACTCCCTGCTCCAAAAATCCATTTAATATATTGTCCTCAGGTAGAGGACACATCAGATATTAAACTGATTAGAAGAATAGGTACTACACTTGATCTTAGCCAAAAGGCTGAGAAGCAATCAGAGCTGAATTGTTCAGGATCCAGAAGGGATCTGCAAAGGGTGTGTGGACAGGGGGTTGCCTAGAGAAAACAAAAATGTTTTTCGACAGGATTGATTAATGAAGTAACCTCTTCCCCACCTCCCTCATGAAATGATCCATAAAATAAACCTTTCTCATGTAATCACCATCAGAGTGGATGGTTTTTCTGCCAGCTGGGACCAAGTCTTGACTTAAACCTCTAGGTGGCCAAGGAACTCAAGTTGAGGCCACTCAGGTAACAGGTTTAACCAACCCTATCTAGGAAGTACAGTAACACTGATGATAAATAATAAGTTAACATTTAGGCCAGGTGCAGTGGCTCACGCCTAGCACTCTGGGAGGCCAAGGCAGGTGGATTACCTGAGCTCAGGAGTTCAAGAGCAGCCTGAGCAAGAGCAAGATCTCATCTCTTAAAAAAAAATACCCTGGTATTGTGCTGGGCACCTATAGTTCCAGCTACTGGGGAGGCTGAGGCAAGAGGATGGCTTGAGCCCAAGAGTTTGAGGTTGCTGTGAGCTATGACATTACAGCACTCTGCTGAAGACAACAAAGCAAGACTCTGTCTCAAAAAAAAAAAATGACAATAATAAGTTAACATTTATTAAGTTCTTCCTGTGGCCCAGGGACTGGCCTAAGCGCTCTATATGAGCTACCTCATTTCATTAGCACAGTAACTCCATGAGCAGGTGCTATCATCATCCTCATTTTACTTGTAAGAAAATAATAATGGCTCAGAAAGATGAAATGACTTGACATAGTCTATGTAGCCAGCTGGGATGGAGGTAGACTTCAAAATCAGGTCACTTTGACTCCAGAGTCATGCTGTTAATTACTATGCTATAAATCAAGGCCCTATTTACAAATTACTTGCATCATTAATATAGGAGAGAGACTCACCCTATGCCATTTGTCCCCACTGCTCTCCCCCATTGACTAGAGTCATGAAACGAGTACCTTCTCCCCTCTCCCCTCCAGGGCTTTCCTACCGGGATGAGTCCAATAGAACAGCCTTCCCAGAGATAAGAGAGCTGAGTTTGGTCAAGGACATAGTAATAATGATGCTCTCTGATGTCTAACTATACACTCATACATATGACATTTATTGAGAGCCAATTATATGTTTACCATGTGCTAGGCATTAAGATACAAAAATAAATCAAGTGAAGTGCTGTGGTCCACACCATTAGTCCCAGCTACTTGGGAGGCTGAGGTAGGAGGACTACTTGAGGCCAGGAGTTTGAGGACAGCCTACGCAACATAGTAAGACCCTATCTCTACAAAAAATAAGAAAAATTAGCTGTGTGGGGTAGTGCATGCTTGTAGTCCTAGCTACTCAGGAGGCTCAGGCAGACCACTTCCAGAGGTATCCAACCTGTGGCCCAGGAACCGCCTGCAGATTACTTGATAACAGTTTTGCTTGCTTGTGATGTTGAATATTGGAAAAATTATACATGGACCTTTGTTTGTTTGTTTGTTTGTTTTTTAGCTCATCAGCTTGTGTTAGTTTTTGTATATTTAATGTGTGGCCCAAGACAACTCTCCTTCCAATGTGCAGCAGAAAAGAAAAAGCACACCCCTAGAAGTCCTGAAGTTTGAGTCTACAGTGAGCTACGAATCCCACCACTGCACTCCAGCCTGGGCAACAGAGTGAGAATCTGTCTCAAAAAATAAAACAAAATAAATACAAAATAAAAAAAATACAGAGAATCTGTAGGGTGGAGAATCTGTCCTCAAGGAGCTTCAAATATTGAGGGAGATAGATACATATAAAATTAAGTTTACATGAGTTAAGAACGTCTTAGTTAAGGATGTCTTAATTTGTCATAAAATGAGGAATGGATGAAATATTCTGAAATCTGAGAGCTAGGAACAATTACTTCTAGTTTGGCCCAGGAAGTAACTAGAAGCCTGAGAGGGATGTCATGAGCTGAGTTTAGAAAAATAACTTAAACATGCAGAGAGTATAAGGATTTTTTTATTTTTTTTAAATTAGGACCTGGCTTGGTGTCTGTAGCTCAGCAGCTAGGGCGCTGAGCGGGTTCGAACCCAGCCGGAACCTACCAAACAACAATGACAACAACAACAAAAAAATAGCCGGGCATTGTGGCAGGCACTTGTAGTCCCAGCTACGTGGGAGGCTGAGACAAGAGAATCGCTTGAGCCCAAGAGTTTAAGGTTGCTGTAAGCTCAAACTTACAGCACGGCACTCTACCAAGGGCGACAGAGTAAGACTCTGTCATTTAAAAAAAAAAAAAAAAAATCTTCTGAGTGCAGGAGACTCAGAATGATTCTGTTTGGCCACAGGGTACCAGCCGTGAAGGAGAGCAGAGGGACATGAGACTGGAAGGAGAAGATGGGGCAGGGCCCTGAAAGTCAGGCTGAGGGCTACTGTCTTCAGCATGTGTATCCATCACTGTCAATTGTGCTGTGGCCCAGGGGTGTACCCCAAATTCTTCCTTCATAACTGCATCGTCCAAATTCTGATCAATGTCTCATAACACATTTCTGCCTCAAGTAAAGACACAACTGTCACAGTGAGGTCAGTGAGAGTAATGTTACGCTGAGTGAATCAGGTGGCAGGCAACAAGGGGACAGTATAATACAGGTGATTCAGAGGCAGGAGGGACAGCATAATGTCAAGGCATTGCTAACGAAAACATGAGTATTTCCTAGAATACATGAAAACTTATGTCTCCTCGGTATCTAAAAGTACCATCAGGCCAGTATGCAGTTCCTCTCAGACAGGGATCCGTGGTAAAAAGCAACTACTTGGTGATATTGTTAACTCTGAATAGTAGTACAGACCCCAGAGGTATCATACTGATTGGCATTTGCACTGCAATTACTGCCAATTTTTTTAGTGTAATTTTTAATCATTTCATCTGGATTTGAGCCCTAGCTCTGCCATGTGCCCTTGATTACATCTCAAACCTCTGTTCCTCCATTTTCTTTCTTTCTTTTTTTTTTTTTGTTGAGGCAGAGTCTCACTTTGTCACCCTAGGTAAAGTCCCTAGCAGCATAGCTCACGGCAATCTCAAACTCTTGGGCTCAAATTATTCTCTTGCTTCAACCTCCCTAATAGCTGGGACTATAGGCACTTGCCACAACACCTGGTCATTTTTAGAGATGGGGTCTTGCTCTTGCTCAGGCTGGTCTCGAACCTGTAAACTCAGGGCAAGCTACCCGTGTTGGCCTCCCAGAGTGCTAGGATTACAGATGTGAGCCACCATGCCAGGCCTTGTCCCTGTATTTTCTCATCTCCAGAATAGAGAGAAGGAACCCTATAAGGCTATTGTGAGGATTAACTGACGTAATGGATAACAAAGCACTTAGAACTAAGTGTCTGGCACAAAGCGAGTGCTTGGTCAATGTTAAATGTTGTTTTACTCTCTTTGTATGAATGATTCAAATTTAGAATTCAAGACACGTAGGGAACACATACTCAAAGTATTTTGTGAACTATAGGAGGAAGGGAGGCTTTATAGGTGTCTACAAGGGTATGCATCAGGATCAGAACTCGGTTTGTACAGATAACTAGCTGCAGTGTGATAATGATTGCTACTTACTGAGCACTTACTGTGTGCCAGGTCTCTCCAGAAGGAAGTTACATGCATGACAGTTGGCGTGAAGTCGGGCAGGGAGAGGTAAGAGGGGTAAGATCCATCCAGAGCCAAACGAGAGGTAAGGAGATCTTTTAGCAGCACATGGAATGAACAGGACACAGACAGCTGGGGGATGCCAAATGCACAGGAGAAGCAACAGGGGAGCCAGGCAAGGCGGAAAACCTCTCGGGAGCCCCAGTGGTCAGACAGATGGCAGCGCATGTATGTGCACAGCTAGGTGGTGCAGCTGGGTTGGGTAAGTGACCCAAAACACAGGCTTTCCCTCCCAAAGGGATCATTTTGAGAACAACTTGATAGTACTGAGATAATGAGCTATTCTCTGATAAAAATGAATTATTGAGAGTTTAAAAATAAAGAAACCCTGCCAAACAACTGACCTCAAAACATTTTTCTTTCTTTGCCTGGTGAAGTAGGCTGGCCATTCCGGGAAGCAGAACTGGAAAAATGAAAGTTTCCAAATATTCTTTGGGGGGACCTAGAACAAACAAAGAAAACTTCCCAGTGCAAATCTCAAATGGTTCAAGTTGATCTGGGAGAAATGTTTACTTCTGAGCCAGAAAAAGGTACTGTCAGTTCAATAATATGACCTTAAATGTTACATTTTGCTCCAGACTGCAGAGTTGGGCTGTATTACTAAGGCAACTTAAAATGTTTCTCTGAGCCTCTGTAGTCTGGTGAGGATATAGGCAGGGTCCTACACAAGGTCAGGTTCACAAGGCTGGAACAGGAAGGAGGCCAGTGTGGCCAGGGGACAAAGCAAGGCAAGTACTCTAGTGGATAGGGCCTATAGCCACAGTGATGCAGGCATTGGGTGGACCAGGCCCAAAGCCAGCCTATTAGAAGGCACAGAACAAACCAATAGGAGAGAAGGGCCCCAGGCACTGAGACTCAGATCTGCAGCCTACACCTCTGGCTTCCACATACACACAAGGCAGCATGATGTTTTCTTCTACTTTTTACATTTGTTTACCATTCGCTCATGTAGGATCAAAGTAAGTTCATTGTCATGCATTACCTTTACTACTTTTTAACCTTAAAGATAAGTCAGTGGAATAAAGGATACTTTTCTTAAACAGAAAAATTAAAACAAGAACACGTTCTTGGGCGGCCCCTGTGGCTCAAAGGAGTAGAACACTGGCCCCATATGCTGGAGGTGAAGGGTTCAAACCTAGCCCTGGCCAAAAAAAAAAAAAAACAAAAAAAAAAAAAGAACTCTTTCTCATTTATGTGGGCTCCCTGAGGTGTATTCGCCCATTTCCATCTCCACTCCATGGTTCTGCAATCTTATAAGCCCAAAACTATAAAAGATGAAATTTTACTTCCTTACTTACATGTTTTTGGATCAGTTGTTTCTGGTTTATCTTCAGAACAGGGTTTCTGTGAGACCATGGGGAATTGGGGAACTGGAAAATACTGTTCTACATTGAGGCCATGGGAAAGCATTTCCTCCAATGGTGAAACCTGGTGGTAGGTAGGGGAGGGGAGTCAATTCATATAAACAGTATAAATACTTTTATTTCTTCTTATAAACTTCCAAAGGAATAAAATTCTTTTTTTTTTTTTTTTTTTTTGAGACAGAGTCTTACTATGTCGTCCTCGGTAGAGTGCCATGTCACCACAGCTCACAGCAACCTCAAACTCTTGGTCGTAAGTGATTGATTCTCTTGCCTCGCCTCCCAAGTAGCTGGTATTATAGGTGCCTGCCAAAAGGCCTAGCTATTTTTTTGTTGTTGCTGTAGTTGTCATTATTGTTTAGTAGGCCTGGGCCAGGTTTGAACCTGCCAGCCCCAGTGCATAAGGCCAGCACCCTAGCTGCTGAGCTATGGGTGCTGAGCCAAAGGAATAAAATTCTATATCAGACTTTAGGTTCAAGGGGACACACTGAATTTAAATCCCCCCCCCCCAAGACACCTATGAATGACAGTCAAGGAACAAAACCCTAATACAGAAAAGAATCAGAGGACCATCTGTGGATGCGAGATTTGCCAACATAGCCAAAAGAAACAGGGATGAAGCCTATTTTTGATAAGTGAGAGAGGAGATGAGCCATAGGAGAAAACTGTACCAGAGGACAGATGTCCATCTTCCCACTGGAATCCCGTAAGGGCTCAACACTCAGAATTGACAGGCATTACAGAGCGGGAAGGACAAGGGAGCAATATTCAGAGTATTAAGTGGCAATCTGACTGGCTTCCACTGGCCTGCTGCCCACATTCCCCACCTGTGCTTCGGCCCCCTCAGTACTCATGAAGCTGTGTTCACACCAGCATTTTATATCCAGTTCCCCCTCCTTTCCAATGACTCTTCTATAAACAAACGAAACAAATAGCCCTGGGAAGGAGCAATACTAGTCAGAATTGTTAATATGTAGAGAACCATGTCGGTGGCCAAAAGAAAAACAATTGATTTGGAAAGACTCCCTGCCCAAATCCTAAAATACAAGATGTCCCAAAAGTGACTCATGAAGTTGTCATACCTAGGATACATCAGGAAAACGAAACTGTAGCTTTTATCTATAAAATATTCATTGCAAAATCTAAACAAAATTTACAAAATATTCTGTACATGTTGGCCACCTCTTCATAAAATTTTGTAACAAATATTTTCTAAATAAAGGTACATTTAGCTACAATTTCCCATTTTTGCTGTGTATGGGGTGACGTTATGGGTCACTTTTGGAACACGCTGTGTTCTGACTCTTTGCCTGCTCATCCTGAAGAAAAGTCTTCCAGTGGATGGTCCTTCTTCATGAGCTCCCAGTCAGCACTTTTCTGTTCATATAAAAGACCATTCAGAAAACAAAGCCACATGGATAGCAGTAGAAGAAAACTACACCAGCTGTGATGGTTAATTTTAGGTGTCAACCTGACTAGATTGAGGGATACCTCGATAGCTGGTACAGCATTCTTTCTGACTGACATGTGAGTTGCTGAACTGAGTGGGGAGGATCTGCTCTCAGTGTGGGTGAACACTATCCAAGCAGCTGAGGGCCTAGAGGGAACAAAGAGGCAGAGGATTTTGCTCTCTTCCAGAGCCAGGATGGCTCTTGGACCAGAGAACTCCAATTCCCTGGCTTTTGGATTCTAGGACTCACACCAGTGGCTCCTGAGGATCGCAGGCCTTTGGTCACAAACTCAGACCAATAGTTACGTCATCATTTCCTCTGGTTCTGAGGCTTTTGGATTTAGACTGAGCCATACCACCAGCTTCCCGGGTTCTGTAGCTTGCAGATGGCCTACTATGGGACTTCTCAGCCGCCATAATTGCATGAGCCAATTTCCCTAGTAAATCCCCTCTCATCTCTCTTTCTACATATATACTATTGGTTCTCTCCAGAAAACCCTAATATACCAGCTATAGAGAAAAATTCACTCAAGGCTCCATTTTAAATTTTCAATGAACAATCAGAGCTCTCTACATAGATCAAGAAAATCAACAGCATAAAAAATGAAGATCAAGAACTATAAACAGATCAACTGGCCCTGAAGAAGGACTAATAATTCGGGGAGGGGACTGTAATTAGTATCTGCAGAAAAATTTAAGAAAGAATTATATCAATAAAGCAAGGACAGGATCCTACAAAAAAGGAACAATCTCAGAATAAGAAAGATGTTTTAGATGCAAAAATCCTACATTAGAGGCTGCTGCAGTAATGGAAGTTACCAGTAATAGGAAAACCTATCTAGAGGTATAGGTTTTGGTTCCATTCCTGTGCCCCTGCTCAAGTTCCTTCATCTCTTAGAACCTTGCTTATTTTTATTTATTTATTTATTTATTTATTTTTTTTTTGAGACAGAGTCTCACTTTATCACCCTTGATAGAATGCCATGGCATCACAGCTCACCGCAACCTCCAGCTCCTGGGCTTAGGTGATTCTCTTGCCTCAGCCTCCCCAGTAGCTGGGACTACAGGCGCCTGCCACAACACCCTGCTATTTTTTTCGTTGTAATTTGGCCGGGGCCAGGTTTGAACCCACCACTCTTGGTATATGGGGCCAGTGCCCTACTAACTGAGCCACAGGCACCGCCCAACTTTTCTTATTTTTAAATTTTAAACTCCATTAAGCTCCTGTTTAGTTCCAAGGCAGACTCCCTTCCCGGCTGCCTTGTTGGCCCTCTCTCTTTAGTGCAGTCTTCACCTTGCCCACCCTGGCATGTGGAGAAACCTGCACCATCTGCAACTGTCCCCAACATGGACATCGTGTTAGATCTACCAGAAATACTTTTCTTATCCAGGATCTCATTTGGGCCCCACAGGGGCCCTGTGAGTTGGTTAAGGATTGTCTATCCCATTTAACAGAGGCAGAAACTCGGGCCTAAAGAAGTCATGTGATGCTCTCTAAGTCACACCATTAGTAGCATATTTAGGCTTGGCCCCAAGTTTCTGGTTCTTTTATGGTCCTAGCTCCAGTGCCTTCCCTTAGCCACCTTCCTGTCAGTCATTCACTGGTCATCAGTGTTATTATCATTTAAAAGCCTCTTATTTAAGTGGAGGCCTGGGCAATACTCACAGTAATCACATCTTCTTCTTTGACTTTATATCCTTCTGGAAAGGGAGGCTGCTCAGCGTCATACTCTTAAAGAGAAGGGGGGAAAATTCTCAGTTCCATACTTCATTGCAGTTTGTGATACAATGTCCTTTTCTTTGAATAAAACACTCTTACATTTTATTTTGGTTGGAGCTATGCAGAAAGGAAAAACAAAACCAAAAACTGGCCCTTACAGCTTAATAATTAACATGAACCATCTTAGTTAAAATAGGTAAGAGATGGGTGGTCTCTTGTATGAAAGATTCGAGGCTGAGACTCTTTCCCAGAAGACACAACCTCAGATTATACCCAAATATTGTGACCACTACAAGGAATAAAGTGAGGAGGAGAATATGGAGTGTGGTTAAGAAAAGATGCCAATAGCATACGTGGAGGATGGACTAATGCAAACAACAGTCTACACAAGTTCTAGAGGGAAGCAACAACTGTGGCTCAGAGAGGGACGGAAAATGCTCATGGGCTGTATTAGCTACATGCCTAAAACAAAGCCTGCTAAAAATATTTCTGGAAAGAGCAATTACATAATCACTTGCAGTTATGAGGAAAAATAAATTTCTGGGCAAGACGGTATTGATGGAATATAGCTGTAGAAGACACAAATTTTATTCCATTACTAGCTATGTAATCAGGTAGCAGAGCCTCAGCCTCTCACCTTTTTTTTTCAACTCCTAAATATCAGACTGAGGACAAGTACATTAGGCTTATAAGCAACTATGATTTCCAATACCGGTTGTATTAGTTTTCTGTTCAGTGATGTAAAGCAGGATGAATTAATTTATTTATTTACTTATTTATTTAGAGACAGAGTCTTACTATGCTGCCCCCGGGCCCTCGGTAAGGTGCTATGATATCACAGCTCACAGAAACCTCAAACTCTTAGGCTCAAGCAATTCTCTTGCCTCAACTTCCCAAGTAGCTGGGACTACCGGCACTTGCCATGATGCCCAGCTATTTTTTTGTTGTAGTTATTGTTTGGCAGGCCAGGGTTGGGTTCAAACCTGCCAGCCCTGGTGTATGTGGCCAGCACAGATCCACAGAATGAATTTATTATCTCACAATTGCCTTGAGTCAAGAGTTTAGCAATGGAAAAGGATTTCATCTGGCTGAATTCAAGCCAACAGCTATGGCTGTGATCTTATCTGAGGGTTGGAGTCCTTTTCTAAGCTCATCCATTGTTGTCAGAATTCATTTTCTTATGGTTGTAGGTATGAAGTCCTTGTTATCTTGTTGGTTGTCAAATAAGAACAGCTCCTACAGGCAACACTCAGGTCCTTGCCATGGTCAACACCCAACATGGTTCTGGCTACTTCAAGACAAGCAGGAGGGTCACTTATGCTTGAATCTCTCTGACTTCTTTTAAGGGCTCACCTGATTAGTTCAGGCCCACCCACAATTATCTCCCTAATTTAAAAGTCAACTGATTAAAAACTATATATGCATTGAGAAAACTTTTTCTCAGCACCACATGGAATTGTGTTTGACTGAATAACAGAGAAGTGTGTGCACTAGGTGTCAAGAGTCTTGGGGGCTGTGGTGGAATTTTGCTCACCATACCCCATGTAGCTCTACTACTTTTATTTTTTCCTCTCAGGTGAGTATGTATATTCATCTTTTCTCCACTGTCTCAAAAATCATTGATAGTGTGTGAAAAACTGGGTTTAACATTTATACCTTTGGTTGCAAAAGCAAGACATACTAATTGAAAGGCAATTTCAAATAATACAGAAGTGTCTTATGTAGAAAGTCACATGATATTCTCATTGTATTTACTAATATATGTATATATAATATACATGTGTTTACTTTAAATCTCCCAGACTAGGTCAACTTGCCCAAGCATAGAATCTCAGAGCACTGTATCCTTTTTCTTCATAACTCGTACTAGTTTTCCCTATTTAAAATTTATAAAAATTAATGACTATATTTTCTAATAGACTGTATGTTTTGTGAGGGAAGTGCCTGGTTCCATTAGAGCTCACCACTAAATCCCCAAAGAATATTTGCTAAATGAATGAATGAACAATATAAATAGTATAGCAAGTTACTTCTCTTTATTTAGTCATTCATATTTGCTGAGAGCCTATTATGTACCGAAAAGAATTCCAGGAGTTGAATCTTGGACTTCTGATTTAACCACTGTAGTCTTAGTGGACATTTGGGTTGTTTGCAATGTTTCATTATTACAAACAATGTTGCAAGGAGCACATTTATGTATGTATATATACATAAATTATGTAATAGCTATGATGTATCATTGACCCAAATGTAGGTGTTTTATAGTATTAATTCTTAGATGTGAAATTTTTCTGTCAAAGGAGAGAACAATGTAAAACTTGGGCCAAATTGCCATATATACTCCTAATAGTGAAAGTCTGCCTTTCCCTTGAGAGTAAAACCAATCTAATACATATACATATTTAAAATGATATTTAACTTTCACTTCTATTTCTTTAATTACTACTTGCTATTTATATTTTTTCCAGTGAAATTGCTGAGTTTAAATTTCAGAGAAAATATACAAACTTCTTCATCATATAACTATAAAAGATATGTAGTTGGCCAGCCATTGTGGCTCATACCTGTAATAGAGCACTTTGGGAGACTAGAGCAGGAAGATTGCTTTGGGCCAGGAGTTTGAGACCATACTGGACAACGCACTAAGACCCTATCACTACAAAAAATAAAAAAATTATTCAGGCATAGTGCCACATGCCTGTAGTCCCAGCTACTTGGGAGGCTGAGGTAGGAGGGTTGCTTGAGGCCAGGAGTTGGAGGTTGCAAGGTTGCAGTGAGCTATGATGACACTACTACTGAACTCTATCCTTGGGGAAAGAACAAACCTTGTCTCAAAAAGAAAAAAAAAGACAAAGGAAAAAAGAGAAAAGATATATGGTTGAATTGTTTATGTAGAAGGGTAAGAAAATATATGAGCTCCAGAGACTCTGATGTGTTTGTTATTTAAAGCCTCAATAATATTTGAAAATTTGACATATTTGAGAATGTGTCAGTTTTACCTTGTGATTTCAATTTGAAATTTATAATTGATTACAGACTGGTACTGTTGCATTGAAAGGCATAAGAGAATTTGATTAAGTTTATAAAGAGTATTGAACTCTGTAAAACAACTTGATTTACCATAGTTTGATTGATTAGATTTCTAAAAGTTGCTTCAGTGCTTAGAAAAATTTGTCTGCTCTGTTCTGCATTAGACGTGCTTAAGAAAATCAGGTATGTCAAATTTATAAATATTTACAATCTTTCAATTAGTGAAGCTTATAAATAAGATTAATTGGTTAGAGGAATTAATGTTATATGCATGATAAATGAACATTAATCTAAGAACAAGTGAAAGTGAATGTTCATTTAATACATCAAAGGCAACATTCTGCAAGAGAGTCAAAGCAGAATGAGCCAGCCGCAGAAGGCTGGAATCCAGTTGGCAGAGTGGAGCCCTTTTACCAAAATTAGAACCTCTCCCTTCCACACTTCTGGGATGTGGGAATTTAATGTCTTTATTGCTTAGGCCATTCATTAGGAGCTGGACTTTCAGTTATTTGCAGCTGAATGTGTTTCTAATGGAAATATCAATTAAAATACAACGTTTCCCACAGCAGCCTCTTGGGAGGGGATGGACCAGGAAGGTGAAGAAGCTGGAAGTAAATCTGATGAACATTTGGTGGGCATATGCTATGGCGAGGGGTTGTCTAACATTGCTGAAGAGCCAAATGAATAAAGCAGAAGAGCTTATGTTCTCTCAAGACAGTGACTAGTAAGCCAAGGGTTATGAATTATTACAAAAGGGCTGTACCCAGAGCTCTAGGAGTGAAGAGAAGGTGCTTTGAACTGGCTTGGGGAATTATGGAAGGTTTTCCAGAAGAAGGGCCACTTGGACTGAATCTTTAGAGACAGAGATGAGAGGAAGGCAGAGATGTTCGAGTAAGAGGCAAAGCCTGTACACGTCATGGAGGAGAGGAAGGGCATAGTGCACTGGGGTTAAGAGTTTTGTGTAACTCAAAAGTACAGCACAGAGTAGTGATCCCATGCCTTGTACCTTTTCTGGAGTGTGTGTGTAAAATTAAGAGCCCATGGACTTACCCCTGAAGAGTGAGTCATCAGGTCAGGGAGGACAGAGCTAAGGAATCTGCATCTTAACAAGTATTCCAGCCAACTGTGGTGGCTCATGCCTGTAATCCTAGCACTTTGGGAGGTCAAGGCAGACGTTTAAGATAGCCTGAGCAAGAGCAAGACCCCATCTCTACTAGAAATAGAAAAGTTAGCTGGGCGTGGTGGCAGGTGCTTATAGTCCCCACTACCTGAGAGGCTTAGGCAGGAAGATCACTTAAGCCCAGGGGTATGAGATTGCTAAGGTAGGGTGAGGTGATGGCACTTTAGCCCAGGTGACAGAGCAAGACACTGTTAAAAAAAACAACCAAGTATGAAGAAGATTTTGATGTAGGTCCTCCCCGTCTACACTCTGAAGCTGGTATCTCACTTAAGGGCTTGGGATTTGAGTGTCAAACAGACATGAGTGTAATTCAGTTTTGCCACTTTCTTTGGACAAGTTTATTAACCTAAGTCTCAATTTCCTCATCTGTGCAACAGGCAAAATCCTTACTGAGCTGCTGTGAGGCTTAAATTAAGAAGTAATGCACTTAGCAGTGTCTGGTACATAAAGAACAGTTTGATAAATATTTGCTATTAGGAGGATTTGGGCCAATGGTGTGTAATAAGCCAAGAATAGTAAACAGGGATCAGATCACGTAAAGCGCTTAAGAGTTAAGCTAAGGAGTTTATCATGAAAGCTATGAAAATAATTGTAGGTCACAGCATAACTAGATTTAAATTTTAGGGGGGTTACTGTGTGGTAAGGGCCTGATCTAAGCAGCAGGCCTGAGGACTGGGAGGGGTGGAAAGTTGGAGCAGGGTGGTGATGGTAAGCAGGTAGGTTGTCTAATTATTGGCAAATGAGCATGGGGATCACAGTTAAAGGGAAGAGCTGAGTGAACAATGGTGACATTTATTGAGGTGGCAGAGAGAACTGTTTGTGTTTAGAAGACTGCCTGGAGTCATGCCTGGCCTAGGATTTAAAACAGTTCCCAGTACTGGTAAATATAGCTGTCTGGATGTATAAGAATAATTTCTTTAGAGAAACAAGGTAATGCTAGTCTGCACTGAGTTGATAAAGGAACAGGAATGAAAGTGGTATAAATAAGAGCAGTGTTTCTTCCAGAACTTGGTTTTGAGAGGGGAACTGTAATAGCAACTAGATGAGGAAAGGGGTTAAGGTCAGCATTATTCCCAAGATGACATGATAGACCTGAGAGTGTTTAGAAGGAAAAGTCAGACAAGTTAAAGATCTAGGAGAAGAGAGTGATACTGCAGGATCCTAAGGTAACAAGAGCATAGCAGGGGCTGAGAGGTGTGTAATTGGGGTGAATACTTCTTCCATGTGAACAGATGCAAATGTTTGTTGGTGTGAGGACACTGCAGAATTCCCTCCCCACTCCTGATTGCCTAACTCTTCTGGTGAATGCCTCCTGTGCTAAGTGGTGTCACAGAACATTTGAGGAGAGAGTTAAACACATGGACGAGTAGATGTAGGCAATAGGAGAAGGCACTGATGGATGCTGATTACTGAGCAGTGCTGAGAGCCTGCTGGGATCATTTTTCTCTGGCTTGCTTAGTTGCCATGCTGGAGGAACAAGCACTGATTCAGAGGTGATCATGTCAGTATCTGGCAGGTAGGATGGGGGGACCAGATTTTTATAATAGCATTGAGAGCTGAAGCCAGAGTGTTTGATTAACTTATGTGATGAACCAAAGACAAAATTACAGATGTTGCTGAGAGGAATCATAATAGTATCAAAATAGAGAACTGTAAGCTCCAAATATCTCGACTCAATCTTGGTTAAAACCATAGTTATGAGTCACAAGCTACTACAAAATCCAGTTAGAAGCCTTGGGGGGAAAGAAGCTTATTGGTACTAATACAAGTGCTAGTGCTTTTGAGAATACAAAGCTCTTAATTGTCACTGGAGAGGTGACAAAAAAAACCTGAAGAACACTTACAAATAAGTTATCACAGAGGCAGGCCCGCACATACATACAAAAGAGCTCTACTCAGGTACATTAAAGTTCATGTTGGCTGGGTGCAGTGGCTCATGCCTGTAATCCTAGCAATCTGGGAGTTGGAGGCGGGTGGATTGCTTGAGCTCACAGGTTCAAGACCAGCCTGAGCCAGATCGAGACCTGGTCTCTAAAAAAATCAGCTGGGCATTGTGGTGGTCACCTGTAGTCCCAGCTACTTAGGAGGCTGAAGCAAGAGAATCACTTGAGCTCAAGAGTTTGAGGTTCCTGTGAACTATGACATCACAGCACTCTACCCAGGGTGTCAAAGTGAGACTGTCTTAAAAAATAAATAAATAAAAATAAAGGTCATGTTTAAGTTATTCACCGATTGTGTATTCTGTCCTCATGAAATTGAATTTTTGGCAGGTCTGTTTTCTATAATTTGTTTTTTATATGAAGATAGTCTAATACAGCAGTTCTCTCAACCTGTGGGTTGTGACCCACGGGAACTGTATTCAAGGGCCATGGCATTAGAAGGTTGAGAACCACTGGTCTAATAGAATGATAATATTTAACCTCAAATATAGGATTACCACAAAGCCCATTTTTTTATGTTCATTGTGAGAAATTGAGTTTACTCACTATATGTTGGTTATACAAACTCCACTTGCTAGATGTTTTAGAATTGAGTTTATCATCTATGTTATAACAACCATCCTAGTGCCGGTGTATATAATCTGTCAGACTTGACCTCACTGACTTCCTTTGGTAACTATAATTATATAAGTGGTGTCAATTCACTTGCTTTTCCTTGATTTCTCCCCATAGGCCTGATTGACCAAAATGAATTGACTGCAAAACACAACACAAAGCATGTTTGTCAACAACAATGAACATTTATTGACTACTTTCTAAATGCCAGGCACTGTGCTAAGCACCTTTGTATACATTATATTATCTGGTCCTCACAACATCCCTGTGAGGTAGGTATGATTATCCCCTTCTTCCCCAACATCACCCCACTGGTAAATTGAATTGTAAAGAGCTGTTTAGCTTGGTGAAGTGAAAGCTCTGGGGAAAAAAAAGCCATAGTAACTACCTTCAAATATTTGAGCAGATTCTTTGTAGTAGAGTGATTAGCTTCTTGGGTCATAATACCAAAGGGTAAAAACCTAAGGCTGAAAGTTACAATGAGAATATTGAAAATGAAACAGACTGTTCTAGTGCAATGTAATGCTGGAGAAGGAATTTACGCACAGGACGGGCTTTAAATACATGGCCTTTATGCGTACCTACCAACTATGAGCCTACTATTCTTTTGCTTCACTTCTTTCACCTAATCGCTCTCTCTCTCCCTGTGATATACTGATGCATCATTTTTTTTCCATTCAGTAAACATTAATGCATACTAACCTGCACTGTCCAATACAGTAGCCACTGGCCACACGTGCCTACTTAAATGAATTAAAATTAAGTAAAATAAGAAATTCTGTTCCTCAAATGCACTAAATACATTCTAAATGCTAAGTTAACCACATGTGGTTAGTGGCTACTGTATCTGACAGTACAGATCACTGAAAGTTCTATTGGACAGCACTTGTTTTATGCAGGTTGAGGTAGGGATGGTGGCCACAAGATGGAAACATCTGAGTCATTGACCCTGAGGACTTTACCATCCTCTGGTAGAGGGGAAAAAAAACCAAAACACCCCACCATTCAACATTATTCATTAAGAACTAACTAACACTTAGCTCTTGCTGCAAATCAGGCAGTTTCCTATGCACTTTCTATAACTGGTTCCAACCTCCTAACACCATGAAATAGATGCCATGATCACTCCCACCTTACAGAGAGTGTACGTAACTTGAGCTACATAGGTTTAGAGTACCGTAGAGCCTCACGACCAAGGTAGGTGTAGGGCCGCAAAGGAAGAGGGGAGGTAAACTCCATTTGGGATTACCTACTAGATCACGTGGGGTGTCCCTTAAAAGTGCGGGTTCCCCGGATCCCACTGGAGCTTGTGAGGGCAGCGCCTACACCTGCGTTTATAACAAAGTGCCCATCTCGGCCCCAGCGTCCCTCCCTCATCACTAAATGAGGTTTAAGAACCTCTGGTCCACACCACATGGCTCTCTTCAGTCTGTTTTCCCCTGCCTTTGACCTGACTGAGGATCCAGGGTAGAGGCCGCACCGCGCGTCCGTCTCCCTGCGGGTCCGCGGCGTGCTGCCTGTCGGCCTCGCGCGTCAGCCGCCTGGCGCACAGTGGGCGCCCAGGAAACGCAGCGCCCGCCCGCCCGCCGCCCGGCCGCCCGGGTCCCGCCCTCCAGGCCAGTGCGCGCAGCCTACCCTCGCAGATCTGCTCCCACAGGCTCTTGCCCGGCGGCTCGGCGGCCTGCCCCAGAGAGACAACCAGGAACTCAGGGGACGCGGTGACCACTGGGGTCCGAGTGAGCGACGAGTTCCCGGAGCCGCTCGGCTCCTCTCGCGGAGCCGCACGGCCGGGTAGTCCTGGTGGCGCCGCCATGGCCGCGGTTTCCACGGCAACTGCGTTCGCCTCAAGACCGCGACCCGGAAGAAGCCGGAACCTGAGGGGGCGGGCCAGCGACTGGAAGTTGGCTTCCGGGTTACGGCGGAGCGGGCTCTCACGTGGAGGCGGGGAGGTTTGGCCTGCCGGTGAGTGCGGGGGCGCGATGCAGGCGGGGCGGCGTGGCGCGGGGTCTGGAGGTTGCCCCTCGGGATTTGCGCGGCGGCGAAGAGGGGGAAGGCAGCCCCCTTGCACCCCAAATTGTCGGTGTGTGACCGCCCCGGCCAGAGGCGCCTCCAGGAAAGCGCTCCCGCCTTGGAGCCGGCCCGGGACCCCACGTAATCCTCTGCATTTGTTTACGCGGAAGCGTTGGTGCTGCAGAACGCTGGATGGAGCGATCTCACTTCCTGGCTCCTTTGCATCCCACTAGTGATTCTTTGGAAGCATTGCTGTACTAGCTTTGAAGTCACACTGGTAGGGTTCCAATCTGTCCCTGGTTGACTTTGGAACTTAGGGCAAGTGAACTAAAGTCTCCGAAGCCTATGAGGTGGGATATTCACGCCGATCCTCACAAGGCTACTGCGATTATCTAAGGGAGCGTTTGGAGAAAGCGTTTGCAGGAGATGGAGTGTAAGGTTCACTTCTTCCCTTCTCCTTGAAAAATAAATACATTTGGCGTTGCAGGGCCGAAGAGGAGGATGCTGCGGGGTTCTGAGTGGCGAAAAAGGGGAACATTAATTTAAGCTGAACCACATCCCATTTTAGGCTTCTTTGTGCTTATCCGCTTCTCTTTTGAAGCCCTGTTGACCTCCTTGCCTCTGCCTCTCCAGGTTTTCACCTTCTCCCTCCTTTGAAAGTTCCTCTTCTCCTGCCCACTTACTTACATATCGGTACAGCAGCCCCTATCCATGAGGTATAAGTTCCTAGACCACCTGTGGATCCCTAGAATCCTGGATAGTACCAGACCCTTTATATACTAAATTTTTTACTATTGTGCTATGATAAAGTTTAATTTATAAATTAGACACAGTAAGAGATTAACAATAACTAGTTAAAAAATAGAACAATTACACTGTAATAAAAATTTTGTACGTGTGCACACAAAATATCTTACTGCACTGTACTCACCTATTTTTGGACCAAGGTTGATCATGGGTAACTGATACCTCAGAAGGGCAAACCCAGGGGGACAACTGTGTTTCTTGAGCTATTGTCTCAGGTTCCTTCTTTTTTTTTTTTTTTTATTATTTTTTTTTATTTTTTGAGACAGAGTCTCAAGCTGTCCCCCTGGGTAGAGTGCTGTGGCATTACAGCTCACAGCAACCTCCAACTCCTGGGCTCAAGCGAGTCTCCTGCCTCCGCCTCCCAAGTAGCTGGGACCACAGGCGCCCGCCACAACGCCCGGCTATTTTTTGGTTGCAGCGGTCATTGTTGTTTGGCGGGTCTGGGCTGGGGATTCGAACCCGCCACCTTAGGTGTATGTGGCTGGCACCTTAGCCGGTTGAGCTATAGGCGCCGAGCCAGGTTCCTTCTTTTTAAAGCTTAATTGCTATCTTTAAGTTTATGTTGCCTGTGTTAGTACAGTCACCCTTGAGCCTCAGACCCATCTATCTACCTGACCAGTGAACATTTCCACCAGGATGTCCCAAGGCATTTGTCTAAACCATCCTGTCTCCTCCAGGCCTTTAACCACCCACCTTCAGTACCTTTTGTCTCAGGGGTTAACACCACCACACTGCAGTTGCCCAACCTGGAAGCCTCTGTACTTTAGAAACTTCCTGACCATAGCCAGGATAGGTTGATCAAGCTCCATCACCCTGACCTTAACACTGCCCTTGCTTTTATAACCTGAATTGTCATTGGTATACCTTGTTCCCTTCATCACCTGCCTGCTTGTTTTTACTTTTTAAGAGATGGGGTTGTGCTCTATCACACAGGCAAGAGTCCACCTGTCTCACCCTCCTGAGTAGCTTTAACTACAGATAAGTGCCACCACTTGGCCAATCCGGGCTGCGTACCCTCACAGATCTTATCTCACAGGTTCTTATCTGACAGCTCAACTAATTTTTTCATTTTCTTAGGAGAGTCTTGCTGTGTTGCTCAGGCTGGTGTCTTAACTCCTAAGCTCAGATTCCTGAGAGGCTGGGATTACAAGTGTGAGCCACTGTGCTTGACCTACTTGCTGCTTGATGGGTGGGTTTTTATCTTGTATCTGTACCTCTAGCATTTATTCAGTTATCAGTGAGTATTGAGCATTTGCTATGTGCCAGCTAGGCTCTGGGAATATACCAGGAAGCAGGATAGACAGGAATGAATAAATGAGTATAGTCACTCCCTTGATTCTCCACATGCTTCTGGAGTGGGTTATAAATGAACTGGAGCTGTAGCTCAGGCCTGGCCTGGCTCTTTGAAGCTGCTAGGAGTGAGCCAAGTCCAAAATGGACCCTGTAGGCTCTGAGGCTGAGGTCTGTAGTGTGGAGAAGCTCCTGACCTTTTGCTCCCATAACCTTAACTTCCTAGGAGGGGATATTTTGTTTCCAGATTCCCTGGTTTCTGTGCCATGTAGCTTAGGAAACAGCAGGAACTATGCTGTGACTGGAGTCCAAATGGCCCAGCTGGTAGCTAAAGTGAGGACCCCACTCCCTTCTTACAGGTACCTCTGTAACATTTATCCAGGAACAGCTGGATATTTGAGATTATTCTGTGTCATCAGCATTTAATGATTTAAATGTTGGCAATCAGTTTGAAATTTTAAAAGGAGTGAAATAGGCTTACAGGCTGGATGTGGTCCCTAACCCAACAGCTTCTGGTTCAGACTCTGCCTTGTAAATGGGAAACTGAAGTCCATAGAAGCCAAGGCCTTGTGGCAGGAGTGTGTCAGAGTCACTTTGAACCCAGGTCTTTTGAGGCCAGGCTGGGCTCCTCTTATCACTGAACAGCTTGCTCTTATTACTAGCCACCTGGGAAGGCAATTAGGAGAGGAAGTCATTCAGGGTGAGAGTGGGGAGATTCATTTCCAGACTCAAAGTAGAGAGCTGTTTAGATAACCCCAGATAGAGGGGTTAATTGCCCCTGTTGTTGCTTCTGATGGGAACCAGGAAAAAGGGCTGATCTCTTCTCTACATATCTCTTTGCTTCGTCCAGTAAAAGGTAAAGCCCCAAGGGCAGTGACTGGTCTGGTCTGTCTGACTTGTTAGCAGTGTGTCCTCAATGGCTGGCTCATGGTAGGCAGTCAGTAGATATCTATTGAGTGAGTCATTAAGTTTAGAGTTTTGAGGAAGGGGATTGGGAAAAAAAGGAATTAACAGTATACTAAGCACTTTGTATCAACTACTACATTTATTCTTCCCAACACCCCTTTGAGGAAGGAGGCGTTACAGTGTTTTCCCTTATTTCCAGATACAGGAATTGAGGCTTAGGGAGGTTGGCTGATTGACTTAGAGCAATTTGGACTTGAACCTGGGGCTGTCTGACTTTAAACTTTGTATTACTCCATCATTTCTTTTTGCTCCAAAGGAATCATGTCTATTTTCCCTATCCTCTCACATTTTAGACCATCTACTCAAAGAAACATGGCTCTTGGCAGTGCTTAGTAGACTTAGATATAGGGTGGCTTGGTGTGGGAATAACTTGTACCATTTGTTTTTTTTTTTTTCCAGGAATGATCACCAAGACCCCAAAAGTAGACCTGGGCCTTGGGCTGCCAGAGAAGAAAAAGAAGAAGAAGAAGGTGATCAAAGAACCAGAGACTCAATACTCAGTTTTAAACAGTAACAATTGTTTTGCCAATGTTTCTCCTATAAGAGCCACATCCCCCCCTAAGATTATGGTCCAAGGGGAGACACCTGAGATGCCTCTAGTGAAGAAAAAGAAAAAAAAGAAGGGTTATAGCACCCCTTGTGAGGAGCAACTAGAACCTGAGACCACTTGTCATGCCAGACAGACAGAGAAGTCACCCAGCCCCAGGAAGCAGGTGCTTAGCCACACGGAATTTCTCCGTGGGGAGAAGAAAAAGAAGAGGAAGTCCTCATTACCTCCAACCATGTCCCATGGGTTGGGGGCAAAGACCTCTCCAGACCCCAGACAGAATGAGGAGGTGGCAACCAGAGTTGGCAAGAAGGTCAAAAAACACAAGAAGGATAAAAAGGCCCAGGACCCTGCAGCCTTTTCAGTCCAGGACCCTTGGTTCTGCAATGCTGGGGACGGGTACACCTGCTCAGTGGGGCGGGAGGGTAAGGAGCAGGCAGCCCCAGGGCAGAAACGGAAGCAGGGGAGTGCCAGGGAACCGAGCGGGAAAGGGAAGAAGAAAAAAAAGATCTACCAGGAGGGAGACACCCTCCTAGGGCACTCCAAGCTCTCCAGGTCCACGGAGAGCAGTCCTAGAAAAGGAAGTAGAATGAAGCCAGTTAAAATTGATGCTCCAGAATACATCCCCCTAGGAGATGGCCCCAAGGCACCAGCAAAGAAAAAAATGAAATCCAAGAAGAAGGTAGAGCAGCCAGTCATGGAGGAGGTGGCTCTGAAAAGGAAGAAGAAGAAAAAGAGGAAGAAAGACAGCGGTGTAGTAGGAGACCCTTGGAAGGAGGTAGGTTTTCCTTCAAAAACAGACTCTTGCCTTTAGAGAATGAGGTTGGGTTTGGAAAAGTGTGTGCACATTCATGGGTGCTTGGCTTTTAGCTGCCAGAACTCTGATTAAATAGACTTCAGCCAGAACAGGGGATTTGTTGACAAATGTAGTTGGAAAGGTCATGGGTAGCTACCTCCAGGTGTGACTGATCCAAAGGGTTATGCGGTATCATCAGTAATACAGGTTCCTTGCTATTAAGATACTACCCAAATTTTCAGTGTCTTCAGTTAGGATCTGAATCTGTTGGGATCAGTTTTTCAAATTCAAATCTTTTGCTTTCTGAACTCTTGCCACGTGCTATCTGATACTCGGGAACCAAATATAGGCAGTCCCCAGTTATGAGTGAGATACATTCCTGAGAACGTCTTGAGGTTGGATTTGTGTTTAACTCAGATCCCAGATGAGCCACTCATGTATGAGAATACTAACAGTGCTATCTATAGTGGCTGTTACTTGGTTGTAATAACACAGTGTAACACTGTAATGATAATAATAGGACCCCCTACTGTAATAAGTTGCTATAGAAACTATTGTGCTCTTTAATTCAAGCAAACCAAACACAAGAACAAACTCATACAAAAACTTGAGACAGGGATAGGAAAAATTTAAAAACTAAAAGGTAAAAGTTAACATTCACCTAATGTTGCATCAGTGTCTTACTTACTGGAAGGGCATTTTTGAGGCACAAGGTAGGCTGACACGAATCAGAGGATGGTGTTGGAAATGGTGCTGGAGAGGATGGAGTGGGTGCTGGAGAATCAGGGTTTGATTCTCTTGCTGGAGGAGGGGAGCTAGTACGGAAGTTGGTTTCTTGAGAAAGGTATGTAGGGTTTATATGGTCTTTTCCCTTTTTTCACCATAAATTGCCTCGTATCAGCTGAAGTTCTCACTGCTTTGTAAGCCTTTGTAAACCATTCAGTGTTGGGATCTTGCTCTTCAAGCTTAGCAAATCCTGCTTCAGTGAGACAGAAGCCTTGAGTTCATTCTTTTGTCAAAAACTTTCTTGGCTCTGGATTCGCTACTTTGTGTTCTTGTGTTTCTGTCAGCTGCTTCTCTGTGAGACTAGCTGCTTTCATAAAGGTGCTGCACCAGGGAACTGCTGACACTCTGCAGGTTTGTCTACATGTGCGGAAGAAACGGGCCCCTAAGTTAATCATTGAATTACTTAATTATAAATTATCCTTGTGGGGAGCCCATTCACAAGAACAGAACGCTGTATGTCAGGTTGTCTGTAACCCAGGGACTGCCTGTAGTCCAGCCACTCCAAAGGAAGAATGTCACCTCTCAAATGGTGATGGGAAATGTCCCAGGTCTGCTTTCCCAGGCTCGACTGGGACACCCTAGCTAAAAGCCCTCATCTGAAATTGGATGAGGGACTAAAGGTGTCAGTCTCACCTAAGCCACACTGTCTGAGTTGGGGGGCTGCAGTTTCTTGGAGGAAAACCTAGGTCCTATTAACAGGAGGGAATGGGAGATGGCCCGGGGAGACCCAGACACATCTTGTCACCATGGTGACGAGCTTCCTCCAGTGTGAGATTGGAGGCTAGAGGTGAGCAGAAGGGCTGGGGGTCCTCAGACTGTGGCCTTTTCCAGCTGTTCCACTGCCAGGGCCAGGCTGCCATTCCTGCGCTCAGGATGTGCACATGAATGTGGGCCAGGGAACAGGATAGGGTATGCCCTGTTTCATGGTATGTGTTCTGCTCTAAACAGGTGTCTGACCCATCCGAGTGGCTGGTGACTGATGATTTTTTGAGCACTTACTATGTGTTTGTCATTGTGCTAAGTGCTCGCCATGTACTAACATGTTTATTAGCTTTACTAGTCCAGTGAGGTAGTTGCTGGGGGTATCCTCATTTAACAGACAAACTGAGGCTCAAGAGAATTAAATACATTCTCTAAGGTCACCTAGCTGTTAAAAGATGGAGCTGGGGCCAGGTGTGGTGGCTCATGTCTGTAATCCTAGCAGTCTGGGAGGCCAGGGTGGGAGGATCACTTGGGCTTAAAGAGTTCTAGACCAGTCTGAGCAAGAGCGAGATCCAGTCTCTACTAAAAACAGAAAAATTAGCTGGGGGTAGTGGCAGGTGCCTGTAGTCCCAGCTCCTTCGGGGGGCTGAGGCAGAAGGGTCACTTGAACCCAGGAGTTTGAGGTTACTGTGAGGTAGGCTGAGCTAGAGCTAGTGAAACTCTGTCTCAAAAGAAGAGAGAGAGAAAGAGAGAGAGAGCTGGGATTCAAACCCAGGCAGTCTGGCTTCTAAAGTTGGGGATTATCCCTTTCTCAGAAAACATCTGTGTGACCTCTCCTAGGAGCCAGTATTATGGAGCCCAGGAAATGATTATGTTCTGATAGAACAATCCCCGCATTCTCTCCCCTGCGCTGCACCTGTCTGCTGGGTGACCAGCCATTTTCCTGCATTCCTGCCATGATAACGATGTCTGTATGTCTTCAGCACTTCATGAGATGTGAGCCCTCTGGAGCTGGACTGTGGGGAGGGTGTGTGTGGCCTGCACTCAGCTAACAGGCTTGAGGGAGGCAGGGGCGGCCTCCATATTAGGGCCCTGTACAAGTTAGTTCTGGTTGTTGGATTTTTCCAGCTTTGCCCTAGTCCTTGGTTTCACCGCTGTCTTCTTCTCTTTAGGAACTTGGTGTTGGGACTTTGTGACGTGGGCTAATCTTACACGGCTTAGGTGATACCTCAGAGTGGTTTTGATTTGCATTTCTCTGATTATTAAAGATGGTGAGCATTTTTTCATGAGTTTTTGGCCATTTGTCTGTCATCTGCAGATGTTTCTGTTCAAGTCTCTTGCCCACTTACAGAGGGCGTTGTTTGCTTTTATTATTTGAGTTCTCTGTAGATTCTAGTTATCAGGCCTTTGTCAGATTTATCATATGGATTCCGAAGGCTATTTGCTTTGTTTGTGGTATCCTTAGCTGCACGAAAGCTTTTTAGCTTAATCAAATCCCAGTTATTTATTTTTGGTGTTCCTGCAATTGCCGGGGGGTTGGGGGTGTTCCTCATAAAGTTTTTTCCCAGCCCAGTATCTTCAAGAGTTTTCCCTACACTCTCATCTAGAATTTTTATTGTTTCATGTCTTAAATTTAATTCTTATCCAGCAAGAATCAATTTTGGATCAATAGCAAACTGGGGTATATGTATACCATGGAATACTATTCAGCCATTAAAAAAGATGGAGACTTTATATCTTTTATATTAACCTGGATGGAGTTGAAATACATTCTTCTTAGTAAAGTATCACAAGAATGGAAAAATAAATACCCTGTGTGCTCAATACTAATATGAAACCAATATGTAAACAATTACATGCTCGTATGAACAATAAAACAATTAAAAACTAAATGTAGTCTAGTACAGGGGCGGCGGAAGGGGGAGGAGAATTGGCAGAAGGAGGGAGGGCATGAGGCAGGATCTCACCTATGGTGCACATTGTGAGGTTGTATAACACATCCCCTGGGTGAGGGGCTCTTTTATAACTGGAACTTTACCCTGGAAGTGAAAACAATGAAAGCTAAAAATTTATATCTTCATATTAATTTGCAATAAAAAAAAAAACCCAAAAAAACAGGAACTTGGGTTTGCAAGGCTAGAGGCTTTGGAGGCCTACCCCAGCCCCTGTCAGAGTCTTGAATCTTCCCAGGAGCCCCGTGAAAGGTAGTTCCCTCTGCTGTGATGGGGACTCCCGGAGCAACTACTGAGTCAGGTAGGTACACATGTGCTTCAGGTCTGGCTGGGTGATGTGGGTGAAGGGAACCACCCAGGGATCTTCCCAAAGGACACTGGGTGCCAGGCAGAACCCACTTAAAGTAAGGGCTTAAAGTGTGAAACATCAGCAGTTGTCATTACTAAAGGATCAGGGGAAAATGGCCTGAGGTCTCACTGTTATGGGTGTCTTGGAGGTTTAGGCCAGTGAGAGGGTAGCCTGTGTCAGCATGGTCAGGGCAGGCCTGGGCCCCAGCCATCCTTGCGAGGGAGCAGCAGGTGCAGAGAGCCAGCTAGAGGGAGGTAGGGGAGCCGAGGACAGTGGTTTCATTGAGGAGGGCAGGGGCCTCTCTACCATTTGTAGAGAGCCACAGAGGCCTCAGGGGCTGGATTTTCATAGGAACATGATAGAAGCCCTTCGTGGGTTTGGGGGAGGAAAGTGACGTGAGCCAATTCAGTTGTTAAAGTCATTTGAGCTACAGCGCAGAATGGACTGGGGGTGCAGGCGGGGAAGCAGACTTAGAGATGGTCGTGGTTGTATGGGTTGGAGAGAAGGTGGTGACCAGGACTCAAGGGTAGCAGTGTGGAGGAGAGGGCTGTCAGCAGGCCCATGGCCTCTGTCCTTGGGCTGGTTTGGTGTCACCATAGGAGGTTAGGTGACATGTAAGGTGGAGATGTGGCACCCTAAACCCTGAGTCAGGAGACCTGGTTAGACTCAGCCCTTGTTGCTGAGCTGTGGAGTGACCTTGTAATCTCTGAGCCTCAGTGTCTTCATCTGTGAAACAGGCTGGTGCCACTGTTTCTAGGGAGAGTCTTGGAAGAAAGAGAATAAGGAAGGATTTGTTGACAGATTTATCTCAGTGGCAGGGTTGATAACTATTATCTGGGGTCATTTCTGGATTTGTCACCCTGGCCGGGTTGCTGTGGAAGAGGCCATGCATCACGGGCTCGAACCTTACCCGCCCCTGTCCTCTCATGCAGGATCCAGACCCAGACCTAGAGGTGGTGTTGGAAAAGAAAGGGAACATGGATGAGGCGCACATTGACCAGGTATAGTCCAGATCCTTCCTGATTCCCCTCCGCTGCCTCTTGCCACCCCCAGAGGCACAGTCCCCGCCTGCCAGGCCATGTGATCCTGGGCTCAGAGGTGCTAAGGATTCCAGAGGCCACTAGGCCTGTTTCTGCTCTGTTCCTCTGGGAACAGGGAACTCAAGCCCTTTCCTACCTCATGCTGGGACCACTCGACTGTAGCTGAGGGGCCTAACTGGTTATTCCCCGTAATCTGCCGCAGAGTGTGGGAGGCATGTCCCTGTGACCCTACAGCTGGGGCAGGTGACACATGTGCAGCCAGGCCCATGGGCTGCCACTCGCTGGCTAATTCTGGAGGAGGAGAAGAAGGTGTCCGTGAACTAGCTTCTGCTTGTATCTTGCCCAGATTCCTTGGAAAACACATCCTGTGTGGTAACTGGGCTTTCTGAAATTGGGGTATTTTTGTAATCCTGACCCCAAGGCCTGGCAGGACAAGGGTAACTGCACAGGCCTGGTGTTGGACCATAGGCAGGCACAGCCTCAGTTTTCTCCTCTGTAAAGGAGGGATCATGACAGTAGAAGCCATTGCAGTTTGCTGTGAAGACCCGTTGAGGTTGTGTTTGTAGGGCACTTGGCAGGGGTGGCCTCTAATCTGTGCTGAATAAATGGCAGCTGACTCCCTGACTGCCATCTTCATGCTTCCTTAGCAGGGAATGGCTGAGCACTGGATCAGTGCCTCGAAAGAAGCCATAAGGTGAGGGTGGGACATAGACGGCCCCGGAGTGAAGGAGAAATGGAGGGAGTACTTAGAAGTGAGCCGACTGGGAGGAGGGTGACCTGCCAAAGATGAGGAAGTACCAGACCTTATTTGGGGTATTGGGAAGCACTCCCCAAAGCCAGACCCAGACGGGACCTCATTGAGGTCAAAAGGATCATTGACAGACCCCTGCCAGGGCTTTGCAGCAAAAAGATGGGCGCTCACCAGCCTCCTTGCGAGTCAGAGTGGTGCTCGGCTCACCAGGACAAGCCTGGGGCCAGTGCTGCTGGAGCTGCTGTAATGGGGCTGGGTGGCCACGTGGAGAGGGTAGTGGTAGACCCCCGATCATCCAGGCCCCAGACCTTTCCTGGGCTCCTTTTCCAGGTATCCGTAGCTCCTGAGGACGCTGTAAGATCCTCGACCTCTGAGCAGCCCTCAACACTCCTTTGCTTTGTAATTATTTGAGCCTATTAAATATAATTCCTAAGAAAATTCCTAGACATTTGGCATATTTTTTCTCATAAATAGTAAAAATTTATTATTTTAAAAAATGGACAAAGCAACATGCTTTGGGAGAAGAAAATACTTGAAATCCTACTGCATAATCATGCTCTCTGTTAACTCTGTTACATCCTTCCAGATTTTTTCCCTTGTGACTATATAGACGTGCAATTTTCAAACAACATGCTATTTATACTTTTACCATTTAATTTGTGAACTGCTCTCCATTTTGGCAAATGCACACTTGTTACTATTCCACATCCATAGTGTGATTACACTAGAGCGGTGAACCTTCGTTTTCTCTCTCATCCCTAGAGCTTTTTCTTTGACTCGTGTTTTATGTAGTTTTAAACTATAAATGGTCATTTCATTTTGCAGCCATGGCATATTAGAAGAGGGAGGAGCCACAAATTGGGGGAAGCAAAGTTATACTTGAATTCTTCCTTGGGATGGAAGATAATGCCCTGAAATCTTCTATATAGAGCAGTAAGCTCATTGGTGCTCCAGTGGTGGCCCTGAGGCGTGCCAGCAACTGTGTCTGAGATGGACCTACTGTGCGCCTGGTGCTCTCCTAGGTTCTTTACATAGATACTTGTGTTTTTCCTATTTACACTTCAGAATAGCTGACATTGCCAGTCTTTTGTGAATAAATAGACCAATGTTCAGAAAGGTTAAGTGACCTGTGGCCACACAGCTAGTTAATGGTAGTACTGGGATTCAAACTAGCTTCTGCCTACTCCACAGCTGGTCTTCTTTCTAGAAATTAATGCTCTTTTCATAAATGTTAACTCTAGTATCCTCTGCACAAGAAGTCAGGGGTTTGGCATTGTGTTTTGGGAAGCTTTCCACCTCAAATGGCTATTACACACAAAAAATGTTCTAATGGTAAAGGTAGGATAAACTTCAGTTTCTAGGAAGATTCATTCTCAAGAAAAACCCTGGCCAAACAGGATTAATAAGACTGCTCATTGTAGGCCAAGGGACTGCAGCCCCTCTTGAGATGCTTGGGACACTTTAGATGTAAGCTGCCCCCATCCCTGTGGCAGAGTAAAGTTCAGACCTCCAGCTCCATATCTGTCTAGGCCAGGCGTCCTCAAACTCTGGCTCAAGGGCCACATGCAGCCCACTGAGCACATTTATCCAGCCCGCTGGGTGTTTTTCCTGCCACTTTCCTGCCTGTCCTGCTTAGCAGCCAGCTCGTCCCGGGGCCTGCAGTCCAGCCCTCCAGGGGTCTGAGGAACAGTGAACTGGCCTCCTATTTAAAAAAGTTTGAGGATCCCTGGTCTAGGCTCTAGAGTTTGAAGCTCAAAAGAGTTTTCTCTGTCTCATTTCCCTCTTCTTTCATCCTTGCTCAGGTGAGGCGAAAGGCCTTACAAGAAGAGATTGACCGTGAGTCGGGCAAAACGGAAACGTCTGAAACCAGGAAGTGGACAGTGAGTTGGATGCTAGGGCCGTGTTTGGGGGTGGGGTGAGTGTGCTGGGTATCCCTGTCCTTCCTCACAGCACAAGGTTGGAGTTGGGGAACCAAGTCTATCCAGCCTCAGCCTACAGCAGAGTTTGTTCTGAACTTATTTCCTTCCTTCTGAAAGGGTGCTTGCCTTCCTCCTGAAGAGCTGGCTAGGCCAGATAAGCCACCTAAACCTTTCTCCCAGGTCCTGGACAGGTGGGGATTGCTGAGGACTTGTTAGAGTAAGTTCTTGCCAGCAGTGGATGATGCCCTCAGAGAGCTGCTGGGAACTGCAGCAGGAGGTAGGCGGGCCTCTCAGACTCTGAGCTTAGACACTGCAGGCCGCTGGGTTCTGCAGTGGGACTTTGTCATGTGTCTTGCATCTCCTTCCTTACCATCCTATTGAGCTGAGCAGAGCTGGTAGGACACCTTGATTGAGTGAGGAAAGCAGAGAGCAAGGTAGTATGACTGGGAGCCCCTGGCCCCAGTGGTTCTCTCTGGAAGAACCTGATGGCAAGAATGATCCTGGAGCACAATGGCTGGGATCTGTAGGACCTAGGGCCACTGAACACTGGCCACGGATCCCTCTGGTGGGCAGCAGGCCAGCAGCCCTCCTCAGACCCAGAGTAAAGCTGTCACTGGTGCCTTCTTGCTCTGAAAATTGCAGGTCAGGTCAGGCAGGGAAGCTGTAATCAATCCTGTGTCTGGGCTACCATGGAGCTGGGAGAAATGTGTCACCAGTTCACTCAGGGCAGCTGTAGTGACAGCTAGTTTTTGTTGTTCTCTCAAAGCTGACCTAGAAGTAAGTGCTAGGCTGGCCTTTGGCTTGTCAGGCAGAAAGTTCCCAGGCAGCATGGAGGTCAGCAGTCTGGTTGGGGACAGGTGAGAAGAATGCCAGTTATTGAGGACTTAAAATGTGCCAAGCATTGTGCTGTGGGGTTTTGGTATAAAATCTGACTTCAGGGCTCGGCGCCAATAGCTCTGTGAGTGGGGCTCCAGCCTCATACATGAAAAGTGGTGGGTTCAAGCCCAGCCCTGGCCTGCTAAACAATGACAACTGTGACTAAAAAAAAAAAAAATGGCCGGGTGTTGTGTTGGGCACCTGTGGTCCCAGCTACTTGGGAGGCTGAGGTAAGAGAATCACTTGAGCCCAAGAGTGTGAGGTTGCTGTGAGCTGTGACGTCACAGCACTCTACTGAGGGTGACATACTGTCTCAAAAAAAAATCTGACTTCAGCCTCACTAAAGCCCTGTGAGGGGATGTTACACCCCTTTAGAGATGACATAGAGCAACAGTTCTCAACCTGTGGGTCACAACCCACAGGAACCGTATTAAAGGGTTGTGGCTTTAGGAAGGTTGAGAACCACTGTCGTAGAGGCTCAGAGTGATTGGGTGACTTGCCCAGGGTCTCCCAGGTGGGGTTTCTCCCTGGGTCTGTATAACTTCAGTCATGTCTTCTTGGGGAGCTGGGTTACTTGCTTCTCCACAGATGTGGGAGGGAAGGGGCTTGAGGGGCTCTCTTGCATTTTCTTGTACATGGGGATTCATGGGTGGTAGAGGGCTCTGGCTGGAATTGAGACTCCAAGTTCCTAGTCTTGGCTTAGCCTCTGACTTGGCTATGTAACCGTTCACCTTGGTGGGCCTTCACCCCTGCCTGCTATAAAATGCAGCACTTCAGAGAAGAGAAGTGCACTTCAGGTTCCACCCAGTTGGCCCGAATGTTAGGCTGATAGATGAACAGCCAGGTGCTGTTGTGAGAGTTAGGACATGAGGTGTGCTGTGTAGATGTAGTGCGCTGTGGGTGAGGGGTGGTATAGGTAGTGAGTTATGCCATGGGTGGGCTGAGGTGTCCTGGATAGTGAGGTGAGGTGCCCTGAGCCATTGCCATGAGTAGGAGAAGGAATAGGGAAGAAAGGCAGCTGTGCATGCCCAAGTGGCCTCAGGTGTTGGCTAAACCTAACTGGGAATTCCATTGGGTTTGTGTCTCTAGTTACACTGCAAACCTCTTTTTTCTTCATCTGTAAAATGGGAATGTCAACAGTATTCCTTATAAGGCTTTTGCTATGATTAATAAAATTATCACGGTTGAGCTTTCATATTAGCACTTGTTTCTGGGACATAGCAAATGTTTAACCAGCTGGGTCCTCCCTGGTGAGGCTGAGGTCAGGGGAAGGAAAGGGTTTTGGAGTCAAGGAAAATAACCTCCTTTCTTCTCTTACCACAGGGAACCCAGTTTGGCCAGTGGGATACTGCTGGTTTTGAAAATGAGGAACAGAAAGTGAAATTTCTCAAACTTATGGGTGGCTTTAAAAATCTGTCCCCTTCATTTAGCCGGCCCCCTAGCATGGCTGGAAGGCCCAACATGGCCCTCAACAAGAAGGCAGCTGACACTCTGCAGCAGAACCTGCAACGGGACTACGACCGGGCCATGAGCTGGAAGTACAGCCGAGGAGCTGGCCTTGGCTTCTCTAATGCTGCAGACAAAATCTTTTATATTGACAGAAACGCTTCTAAATCTATCAAGTTTGAAGATTAAATTCTACTGTTTTGTCCTGCAAAATAGCCAAAATTGCTTTTATTCTTCAGTTATACCAATGAAAGCCAGTTGTCTCAAATTGGACAGCTATGAAGATTAAAGACAACTATCTTGGTGGGCTTAGATGAGCTGGGGTGGGGTTGCTCATGTTTCAGGAGTCAGGGGAACAAGTGAGTGGCTGAAACCTACTCTTTTCTATGTGAAGCATTCCGTCCGTCTTGGAGATGTGAATGTGTATATATAACAATAGCTAACATTTGTTGGATGTTCAGCATGTCAGGCATATACTAAAGTATTTTCCTTGCATTAATGTATTTACTCTTCATAATTATGAAAAGGGTGCTATTATTATCCCCATCTTATAGATGAAGCAAGCGAGATTCAGGGATAAAGTTATAAAATTGCCCAGGGTCGCCCAACCAGTAAGCATAAATTATACTTTTATACCCCAGACCCTGAGTCACTATTTATTAGAGGGACTGTCCCTTATAGGGAATTTCGTCTCACCTGGAATATTTGTGGGAGATTTTTATTTGCGGGTCCACTGGAGGACAAGGTTATGTTGTACTGTCTTGGCAAGAGTGCAGTGGCGTGATCATACCTCCCTTGAATTCCTTGGCTCAAGCAATTCTCCCACCTTGGCCTCCTAAGTAATCTGGGACTACAGGTGCATGCTACCACCCCTGGCTAATTAAAACAAGTGTTTTTTCTTTCAGAAATAGGGTCACAACTATGTGGCCCAAATTGGTTTCAAACTTCTGTCCTCAAGAGATCCTCCCTTCTTGTCTTCCCAAAGTGCTGAGATTATAGGCATGAGCCACTATCCCCATCCCTTATTGGGGATTAAAATGTTTTTGAGAGGAAACAGATGTTTTGATATGTCAAAATCTGATGGGAAGCAGAATTCATGATATACAATGAGTAGCAAGCTCATTTTCCTTTCCCTCACCTTGGAATAGCTGGCAGGAAAAGAGGTGTCTGAGTTGTCACCAAGTTATGTGACCGAGCTTCCTCTGCTGCTGAGAAAGCTTACCTTTCCAGCTGCCTGCCTTTGATCCTACGTGCTGAGCTTGGATTTGAGTTTTTTTGTGCTGCAACTGAATTCTGAACAAGGCATTTTAGAAAGTGGTTGGTTCTGCAAATGAACTGATAGCGAATTCCCAGGGATATGTTTTATTAGAGTGTCTTCAGTCACAAGGAGGAGAATCCAGGTTACATAAGTGGCAGAGGTCAAGTGCAAGGTGGCATAGGCTCATGGGGATGACACAGGAAGTTGCCTCATCAGCCATCAGGACAGTGTTTATGAGCTCTGTAGCAGGCCTCACCGAGCTTCAGGTACAATGATCCAAGGCACACTTGACCACCTTCTTTCCATCCACCTCACTTTTTGCATCCCAAAATATAGGTAGTTAAATTTTTACATCATGTGGCCTGAATGTACCTGCTACAGTCATCCTAGCTGAGGCAGGCCTGAGCAGCCAGGAAATCAGTATCACATGGCAGGAAGTCCTGATAGAGGGATTAATTAGCAGCCCTTCAAGGAAACAGTCTTTTCCTCTCTGCCCTATCATCTTCAGGGTTGGTTTCATCAAGCTAGTAGAAGGAAGGCAGTAGGGATTTCAGGGAGCATATCAAGATCCTAGAATAGAGCAGTGGTTCTCAACCTTTCTAATGCTGCAGCCCTTTAATATAGTTCCTGTGGTCGTGACCCACAGGTTGAGAACCGCTGCTTTAGATAAAGAAAAATCTTTTTGTGGTTCAAGAGAACCTCTAGAAGCCTTTCAAGAGAACTTTCTTGATGACTCGTTGTTTGTTCCTGGACCAGCCCCTTCATGAGGAGGGAGATTCCCTCAGGTCAGGCTGGAAGAGTAAGAGGTAGATGCCTAGGAGCTGAGAGTGGTGCCCACTGCTGACCCACTGGGCAGAGATGAGGCAGGCATTTCAGTAGCTGGCCTTTTCTGGGCTTTGACTACAACCAGCAAGCATTAGGTCACTTCCCTTAGGACATAAACTTTGTGGTTTCAACCGTGAGATACACAGTGGGAAAGGCCATCTAAAGCCCAGAAGGCAGGCTTCCTTCTTTGTGTTAGCCCTTGGTGAGCACCTGCTCCTTCAATAGAGGAATAAATCTCTCTTGACCTTGAGCAACACTACAGGAATTCACTTGGCATAAATGGGGACCAACCGTTCTGCTCTCATCGTTTTTGTCCTGCCAAAAGGTCACACACTACAGTTTGGACATGGCTTAGGTCACCTCATCAGCGAATGTGCTCAGACTTCCTAGTGGTTCTGGAGAGGATGATTCAGTGTCTACTGCCTTGCCCCATCTAATCCTTGGTGACTGATGGCTCTCATTAGGATGTAATGGCCAGGCTTTTTACTTAGTGCAAGTTGTCTGCGTAATAGAGTTTGGCTTTCTAACTTGATATATCACCATTGGCTTATGAGTTCCATTTGCTTAGAAGGTTTATTGCTTTTCTATGTACATAAGAACTTACTCTGTAACCAGAGAAGGTTGGGCAGCCAAGACTAGTGTCCTCACAATGAATGTAACCTCGTCTTAATGCTTTTTCCTAGTGCAGAATACCATCACTTAAAGGAGCAGGTCCCCGTCTGGGGAGAATTACTCTCTGTGCTCTCATTCTTTGAAAATTAACTGACACTGGCTTGAGTCTCCCCTGCCCCTTTTCCTGTGTCCAACATCCTCCCCAAACTGTTGTTTTCTAGTGTGATTTCCATGTTCTTTGTGTCTTGACTCCGTAGAACACAGCCTATCAATAAGGCATTGGGACTGGGGGAGATAGTAGTCCAGGAGGTCTGGCACATAGCACAGGTAAGTCCTTAGTTGAGGGCCAGGCATAGTGGATCACACTGGTAATTCCAGCACTCTGGGAGGCCAAGACAGTGGATTGCCTGAGCTCAGAAGTTGGAGACCAGCCTGAGCAAGAGCAAGACCCCTCTCTAAAACTAGCCAGGTGTGGCAGGCGCCTGTAGTCCCAGCTACTTGGGAGGCT